CCTCAGTTGTTTTCAATCACAAGTTTCAAACCGTTGCTTGTTTGCAAGGGGGGCCAAGGTTCCCAGCGGCTTTATGCTGGCTGACATTTACCTCTACATGGACCTCATCACCAAGGGCAAGCTGCTGATTCCCAAACAACGTGAAACAAAAATTGATGTTGCGGCCAAGGAGGCCGTCAAGACCAAGAAGTTGTTTCAGGGGATCAGGTATTTGTGGCGGTCCAACGAAACTGGCAACGACCCCAAGATGACGCAGCTGAAGCAAATTCTTAGGAGGTCGCCGAAAAAAGGGAAATCTCAGGACCCTGTGTCTGACAGCCGTGTTTCCCAGCGGGTTCCTTCGCCCTTTCTAGGACAGAGATGGCCATGATCTTGAAGAGCCGCAGGAGGAGTTTTTTGTTTTCAAAAACAAGCCAAACCTTGAAGTGTCTTGCAATTAGGTGTGGAACTATTGGTTTCTTGCTCCTTCGGCCCGGACCCTTCTGGCGTGAGCCATGTTCCCGCGCACGCCTGCGAGGAGGACGCGGGCGGTGATGATGAGGACACCTTGCCGCTGCCTGGCGTCCAGGCAATGCTTTTCTTTCCGCAAAAACTTTACCGGCCTGTGTGTCAGGAAGATGCTGACCAAGCTAGCCCAGCCCCAGAAACCCCGAAAAGGAGTCTTGCTTCAGACACTTCTTTCACGCGTTAGGCCCAACACGTTTCTCAAGACTCAGCTGCGACGCATGCACAGTCACATTGAGGATTGAGGGGGTGTGATTCTCCTCCCACACACTGCTTCGCTTGCAAGGACACTCGAGAAAAAGACGGACGAGACATGGATGAGACACCGCCCTTGCCAGCTCACAAGCGTCTCCAAGAACAGGCGTGCTAAAACATGCTAGGTGTAAATGTCTGTGTGCGCGCGTGCGCGCAAGCAGGACGGTGACAGTGACAGCTACAACGACTGCGTGGAGGCGTGCGTTTCTCTTGACGGCGTGGCGCTTGCAACCTTGTTAGGACACCCCTGTGCCTTCTGACTTTGTCCAACACATCCAGGACCTGGAGGCCCGCCCTGTGTCACGCTCTGCTCTTGGCTTGCTTTTTTTTTGCAGGAAGCCTGCGCGGATGGGTCGGACAAGGTAGTGCTTGCCAGCACTCGCAAAAGCGCGCTAGCGCCCATGCCCAGGAAACGGAGCCGTCTCTTGAAAAGAGCCCAGCGGAGGACTTTGCACCCACTTCGCTGCCTGCGCAATCAACCCAACCTGCAGGACAGCCAACGTCTTTCCGATGATGACCAGGCGAAGGTTTGGCTTCGTGGCCTTGTGTCTTTCGCATTCGGGTGCGCACGCCTTGCAGGAGCACGATCAACAGAGCGAGTGTGAGCAAGTTGAGGAGATGCGCGTGTGTCGGCTTTGCTTTGCTGAAGCCTGACCTCAGGATTCCCAGCGCAGTGACATTGAACGCCGCGAGGCCCACCGCTTGCTGCCTCCACATCTCTCACCTGTCAGTCTTTCAAACCGCGCAGGAGTCTCCGTGCGCCTCTGAGAGCAAAACCTCTGTGGAGGACCGCCCTTGCCGTTTGCTTCTTGCTGCTCGCTGCGAACAGGGCTCAGCAGGGTGACGCGAACGAGTGGGTGCCAAAGTCGCAAACGCTCGGCATTGTGAAATATGTGTGTAACATGTCAGGTTGACAAAACATAAAACGGGTAACTTGAGCTGTGTGATTCATACTTGGGCCATTTACGGCCCGAAGTCCGAAAAGAAACATTGGCCGTAAATGCCGATTGTTGTATGAGCAATTCAGTCAAGAGGTTTCTTTGGCTCAAGCGCGACAAGGACAACTTGTTTTGCTCTGAACTCATGTTCTTCTTGAGTGCGGTAGGACCCTGACTCTGGCTCCGAGCTTGCCCAGGAAAACGTTCTTTTGGTTGTGGCTGCTGAGCGCGCGCATGCCAGGACTCGCGACGCGGGAGCTGTGACGAGGCTGACGAGGACTGAAGCATGTTTTGCTTGCTTCTTTGGCGCGCTAAAAGAAAGTGCTCCCCAGGACCCGTGCTCTGACAGCGACCGGGAGCTGACCCAGGACAGCGCCCGTGTGTGAGTGTGTCTTAGCTTGTGGGGGTGGACGTGCAGCAGGAGGATTCGCAGTTTGAGGGTGTTGGCGAGTTTTCGAAGGACTGCTTGTTGCATTGTTTCTTTCCCTGTTGTTTGGGCGCGAGCCTGGCAGGATTGCGACCAAGGTGAGAGGAGTGAGGGAGACGCGCTTCTTGCTGAGGCCGCTGCAGAGCTTGTTTTGCTAATTCTTTGCCGGCTGAGCAGGACTCTCAGCTGGAGACGGACCACAGAAACCAGGTTCAGGACCTGACCCACCAAGCGCGCCTCCTTGCGCTTAGCAGTGGCAGGACTTTTTAGACAGCAAGGCCGACCCCGCGAAGGAGCTTGCAGATTGCCCAAATCAAACTTTGCTGCGCTCGCTTGCCTCTTGTCGGCAGGACCTCCAAGATTGCAAACTCAATGGGCATCTCGAAACGTGCTTGGAGCAAGACGAGGCCTGCCCTTCCCTTGAACTCCCCTTGCCTGGCCTATCACAGCTCTGCAGGCGCACGCAGATGAAGACATCCTGGACGTGGCCTTCGAGCGCGCAAAGGCAGTGGCCGCGCCCAAGAGTTGGGAAGTCGCTAAAAAGCTGCTTGAGGATCATGTTGACACCCCTGGTGTTCAAAGTGTGCCTCGCAAGCAATAGAACTTACCTTTGTCCTTAAAAATGTCTTCGAAAAGGAAGTTCGCCCTACAAGGGACATTGCCCACGCTTCAGGGGGAAGGGCAGGAAACCTTGGTTGAGAAGCATGCCAATCTTAGGCGAAGCAGGAGCGCAAAAAGAAGAAGAAAGGGTGCAAGAGAAACAAGAACAAGAAGAGCAAGAAGCGGGCGATTCTCAAGAAAGTCGAGGATGAGAGCAAGAAAGTCAACAAGCAGAAGAAGAAGCGAGTTTCAACCAAGCCGGCTGACAGCAACAAGCCAGCAAAAAAACGCAGCAGTGAGGAGGCCAACAGCCCGTGGATCTGGCAAGGGCATGACTTGCAAGCCCTTGGCTTCCCGGAACAAGCGTGGCCAACCGCAGAAAAAACCTCTGGCACAAAGAGCTTCACCTTGGTTTGCAGCCAAACCTCTGCCGCGCCTTGGCAAAAAGCAAAGGTCACATTTTGGCATGTTTTTGGCATGTAGTTCGCACTTGCGTGTTTTCGAGGCGATCGAAGCAATTTTTTCCCGGCGCGCCTTCCTGGTCAAGCGCTTTGCGACGGGCATCGCGCCTGTCAAGGGGTCTCCCAAGCAGTTCTCGTGGGCGAAGTATGAGGGGGCTGGGGCCGCGTGGGTTGCCGCTGCAAAGGCGGCTGGGTTTGAGGCTCAACACGCAAGTTCGCCATAGAGGCTGATGAGCGCTGTAAGTAGGATTCTAGGGGGCGCCGTGCAACCTGTGTAGCAGGGAACCAGTGAACATCACTGATGGGAGCTCACAGTTGCGCAGTCAAACTCAAGAGGTGCGGCAAAAGGCTTGCTTGCTGTTTGCTCACTGTTGCCAATGTTTGAACCCTCACGTTGTGTGGACTGCAAGGTGCTTTCGAATCAGGGGCTACGTGGCTCCTCAGGCTTTGTTTTTTCAAAGAAAGAAACGGCTTTTTGCTGGCGCGTGAGGCGGGTGTGCATGGAGCCATCTACAACCTTGGAGGCCTGCCCGGATTCGGGGTCAAGTTGCTAGCCCTTCTTGCTGAAAGGTGGTTTGACGCCGTACTAGCTTGGTGGAAACCCTCGTCAAGGGTCAAAAGCTTTGGGGCGACAAGTTCGAAATGTCCGAAAACATTCTTGTTGGGGCGCAACAGTCTTGGAGCAGTAAAGTTCGAAACGCCTGACCCCAAACAAGCGCAGTGCAAAAGCAGTAGTGGAACACTTGATAAGGAGCTTGAAGTGAAGCTCAGCACGTCAGCAATTTGCCTTTTTGAGATCGCGCAAGAGTTGAGGGTCCACCCAATGCCTTGGTTTTCGGCACACCTGCCATCACGCAATGCGGCGCTAGGAAAAATAAAGCATCACCTCCATCTGAAAACAATGCTCGTTTTTTTTTCGACCCGAACAAACAGATGAGTTGACAGGGTTTCCACAGTTTCCACTCCACCCTCGCCGCCGCGTCAGTTGTCTTTGCCTTGGAAGGTTGCCTGTCACCGTGCCTTTTTTGTGGGCGGCCATGGACGCTGCTTCAAAACCCGGAAAGAAAGCCCTGAAGAAGAACATGCCGTTTAAGCCGGATGGGCCCTGCGCCGAACCTTCTGCAGCATCCGACGCCTGGAAGACCAGGCACAAGGTCGCGGTCATGGCTGGCCTCAAAGCGTTGCGTGCTCCGGCTGATGCTTGGCAAGAATGGCAATCCGAAACAATGGTGCCTTAACAAATTTGGATTGTCTAACAAGTGGGGGCATCCTATAGAGCCAACGGAACAAGAGTTGACGCAAATCATGAATTTAGGTTCCCGTTTTTCCATAGAAACAAGGGAACCTATTTCGGCTACTGCGTTGGACACAAACTTCACCTCTCGCCGCGCCAGCTGAATAAGAGTTGCGTGATGCAAATCATGAGTTTAGGTTCCCTTTTTTTCATAGAAACAAAGGAACCCATTTCGGCTAACGCGTTGGACACAAACTTCACGTCCACCACAAAGCAGGCAAAATCTGCGCACGCCTTATGTCCACCACAAGGCAAGTAAAAATCAGCGTGCGGCAAATGTCCACCACAAAGCAGGCAAAATCTGCGTCCACGACAGAGCAGGCAAAATCTGCGCGCACCTTATGTCCACCGCAAGGCAGGTAAAAATCAGCGTGCGACAAATGTCCACCACAAAGCGGGCAAAATCTGTTATGTCCACCGCAAAGCAGGCAAAATCCGCACCTTATGTCCACCACAAAGCAGGCAAAATCTGCGCGCGCCTTATGTCCACCGCAAGGCAGGTAGAAATCAGCGTGCGACAAATGTCCACCACAAAGCAGGCAAAATCTGCGTCCGCGACAGAGCAGGCAAAATCTGCGCGCGCCTTATATCCACGCGCACCTTATGTCAGCCACAAAGCAGGCAAAATCTCTTATGTCCACCACAAAGCAGGCAAAATCCGCACCTTATGTCCACCACAAAGCAGGCGAAATCTGCGCGCACCTTATGTCCACCACAAAGCAATAACTGTTTTCCATTTTCTGGAAAGAAGAACTTCTTTCGGCCAACGTGTTGGACACAAACTTCACCTCCTTCCTCCAACGGACACCAGCTGTGAGTTTGGCAAAAACATTCAGTTGCTGGTTGAGGTGATCGCCCTTCTGGCGACGCTTGTGTTTTCCTGCCCGAACTTGGACTGGAGCCCGATCGACCACCTGGAGACGTTCGCCGGGCAGTGCGCCGTGACAAAGGCAGAATGGCAGGCGCAAGTGTGTAAGGTCGTCGCAAAGTCGTTTTTGTTTGGCGCGCAAACATGGCAAGTTCATTGCAGCAGCTCGGAAACAACCTTGTACCTGGTGCGCAGGCTGGACGCAAGGCGGTCCCTTTCGAGATCTTGGTGGGGGGCGATTGCATGGACTTCTGCTCTCCGGCGGGCTTCGCCAACGCAGTGTACCAGACACTGCGAACCTCTCCTGGGGGAGGGGCGCTTCACGCGCCCGTTTGCAGCACTTGGGTGTTCATGTCGAGGGGATCGACTCTCAGGTCGCCCACAAGGCCACTTGGCCGCGGCGACAGCCAGAAAGTGGCCGACGGCAATCTGCACGTGGCTCGCTGCGCGGTGCTTTGCATTCTCGCTGCTGCCAAGGGCATCTTCTGGCTTCTGGAGCAGCCGTCGACTTCGATCATGGAGACCCACCCATCCTTCCAGAAGATGCTCAAGATTCTACACGTGCGGAAGCTCATCTTCGACATGAAGGACTTCGGAGCAAACACCCAGAAGCGGACCATACTGTACAGCAGCGCCCTGCCTTTGTTTGTAAACCATCCAGTTTCAACACCCCTCATCACAGACACAAAAACAGTTTCTCGTCTGTGGCCCAGGCCACGAAGAGGTGGACGACCTCCTGCTGCACAAGCATCCTCGCAAGCGGTGCCACTCAAAGGAGATGGTTATCCGCTACACGGACTCCAGTGGAAAATCGCGTTGCAAAGGAGGACGGGATCTCAAAATGAGCCAGACCTATCCTCGGGAGCGCCTTGCCTAAAACCGTGCGCCACTCATCATCTACTTATTTGTTGTTGAGGGAGTCTTGTGACTAAGCCCTTTTTCTTGATGTTTGTGATGCCCTTGAAAGCTTAGGGGGCCGCTCCCCTTTGTCCACAACTTATGACTCAAATTTCGGGCTCCGGCCACTCGAAAAAAGCATATTCAAAACACGGGGGCTGGGGCTGTGGCCCAAGTTGTTTCCAGGCAGAAGCTTTGTTTTGTTGCTCACACAACAGCAAGCCCCTTTTTGAG